TTAAAAAAGACTTCCTCTCCCCCCCTCCTTTTTTTTTTTTTTTTTTTTTTTTTCCTCCCGAAAAGAGGAAACCCAGGCACAAGCAAACGTTTTCTTATCTGGAAAGTACGATAACCCTTATTCCTTGCCGCGTCCTAATACCTCCGACGTGTTTACACCGCAACAAATCTGGGGGGAGCGTTTGAGCGGAGCGCAGGGCGGATGCCAAAGGAGCTGCCTGGGAGCAGAGAGCCTTCTCTCGGGAGGAGGAGGGGGAACCAGACACCCCAGCTTTTCCCCTCATGCAGTAACAGGCAAAAGAGCGAATTCCCCCTCTCCTCTGTGCCGGGTGCTCGTGTTGTCCTCCCCTGGATGTCAGACTACAGGGCCCAGCCTTTTGACCATCGAATAGCGGTGCCTTCCTTTTTATTTTACCCACGCAGCACCGAGGGGAAGAGCTAATTGGATTAAATTGATGGCCTTCCTCCAGGACGCACCCTCGGAAGCCTCCTCGATGCCCGGGTGGAGGCTGCGGACGGGTGCGGGGCGAGGCTGGGCCTCCACGGAGGAGGACGAGCGCTGCTTGCGGGCGGGCGGTGGCGGTCTGCGAGGCCTCTACCTCCCCCCCCCCTTCTGTAAACACAAAGAAAAGGGGGCCTGGGGAATTGAAACCCAAATCCACTTGTAATCGTACAAGGGAATCGGGCGTAATTACTCGAGCAACCTAGATTAAGATTGATGAGCCTTTAAAAGCGGCGTTTCGGATCGATCGCCCTGCCCTTCTTCGCAGCCAGCAGCCCGGGTTTTCCCGGCTCGGCTCGGCTCGGCTGGGCTGGTTTCTCACGGCGAAGGGAGGGAGAGAAGATGGAGGCTAGACGGGGAGAGCGGCAAAGCAGCCCCGGCGCATGTGATTCAGATCAGCTGACTAGGGTCAAGAGGCTACCGTGGTTTATTAGGAGATGGAAAACAATAAAATGAAAGAAAATAGAGTTTGTATCAATATTATGCAGCCTGCCACGCTGGGCTGCTGAAAGCTGTCACTGAAACTGCGTTTTAGCTTCCCCTTGTACACACACTAATCCGTGCCTTCCTCTTTATTTATTTTGCAGCGAAAAAAATGACAAAACATTGTGCAATACAGCCTCAAATTGGGTGTTACAGTAAAGTAAAACATTAACAACATGACAGTTAGATGCACTGATACAGGACTAATTTGGGCTAAGTGAGTAATTTGAAGCGTCGCCTGCAAGAACTGGTAGCAAAGTGCCTGTGCGGTGCCGGGGGAGGAGGAGGAGGAAAGGTCGCATCCGTGCCTGCCAGCCGGGGGGTGCTGGTACCTGGGGACCCCAGCCGCAGGCACACGCGGGTTCTCGCTGCCATCCTCCTGAGGTCTTCTGTAGTGAGCTTCTTTTGAAGTGCAGGAACCCAGCGCAAGCTTTCTGTCCCTAGCGAGGTGATGCCTTTGCCAGTTCCCAGGAGGTGCGGCGCTCGGATGCTGCGCTGAGTTTCTCAGTGCTGGGGCGCGTAGCGTGTGGATGCGTGTGTTTGGCCGTGGGTACACAGATTACCCTACACCATTCAGCGGTTTAACCTGGAAGAGTGTTTTATGTTTAATCTTTTCTTTTAATTAGAGCGAGCGTCCTAAACACCGACGCTGGCAGCTTTAGCAGCAGGCTGCGTTCGTCTCGAAGATAAGATGGCGAAAAAGTGATCCTCTGCTGTCTTTGGCATTAAAGTAGAAGTTCTTTCTTGAGCTAAACCTTAACAATGCGAATGGAGAAGGCTGCCTTCTGCATTAGGTTCCCCTCATCCATCTTCCCAGTGCCCGTGCGAGCGCCTCGTTAAGGAGCGTCCTTGGGCGAAATGTCGTTACCCTCCTTTCGAAAGGCTCAAGCGGCAGCAAATTGAACTCCAAACTCTCTGCCCATAAATACCCTTAACGAGGGCAGCCGTCCCCTGCGTGCGGTGGCCGCCGGGCTCCCAAGAACCCTTCGTGGGCTCGGCCCGGAGGGGGCGAGGGGCCAGCGCTGCTCGGTCGCCCGCCGCCTGCCCGGCTGTGCCGCCCCCCCCGGCTCCGACACGGCCGCTGCTGTCGCCCATAAACAGCGGGGGTGTTAACGAGGAGTAAAAGGGCACAGAGACAGGGGGGACCTACTCGGAGGAGGCAGCCCCCGCTCCCTCTGACCCCTCTGCGTGCCGCTGCTCACTGATTTATCTCGCGCCCCGCAGCTCACTAACTCTTATTTATTTTTTTTTCTTCTTCTTTTTTTTTTTTTTTTTTTCCTGGCCTGACCGCGAAGTTCAAAGCACGCTGGCCGCGGGCAGGAGAGGGGCAACGGCGGCGGTTTCCAAAGCGGGGTTTACGAGGGGGCATCGCCTGGCGGAGGGAAGGGGACGGGCCACCGGGGATGGGCCGGCCGGGGGCCCCCAACCTGACGGCGCTGCCCTTGTCTTGCAGGCCCCGTGGTGCTCAGCACGCCGGCACAGCTCGTCGCCCCCGTGGTGGTGGCCAAGGGCACGCTCTCCATCACTACCACGGAGATCTACTTCGAGGTGGACGAGGACGACCCGGCCTTCAAGAAGATCGACCCCAAGGTGAGTGCTGCGGGGGGCGGTGGTGGCCCCGGTCGCGGACATGCGTGGGCCGGGGTCGTCCCCTCCCTCCGGAGTGGGCGCCCTGCTGCCGGCTCTCGCTGCGTTTTAGTTTAAAAAAAAAAAAAAAAAAATGCGCCGGGTATTAATGATGGTAAATCCTCTATTACGGCGGCGTGCGCGTTTTTCAACAGCCTTCGCTCAGTGCCTTTGTATGAACGTGGGCAGATTTAGTAGCTAAGCCAATTGCTCTGAAATCCCTGGAGGTAAGAGCAGTCCCAGACTGCAGCCTTCCTAAGACACAGCGAAGGGCTCTACCCCTTCTGAGGCTATCAGAGAATCTCCTCGTTTCAAGAATGTTAGGTACCATGTCAGAAAATACGGTGCATTTTAGTAAACACGCTCCCCGCTGAAATGCAAGCTACTGCTTATTTTCTGGAGTAAAAAAAAAGGGGGGGGGGGGGGGGAAGGGGGATGGGCATGTACCCAAGACTTGATTCCTGGGAAAGCTGTGTTTTGTTTTTTTTCTCCAGTCACTTACTACTCCCAATTCCCCAGCGCCCCCCTCCACCCCCGCCGAGCCCCCTCCCCAGCCCAGCCGCGGAAACCTTCGCGTGGCTCCCGCCGGGCTGCAGCCGAGCGGGGGGCAGGAGGGGGCACGGGCAAGGGACGGCTGTGACCGGCTGCTCCCCTCTCCTGCACCTCTGTTCCCTCTTACCGTTGTTGCTTTGTTTCTCATTATCGAGCTGGAAAATGTTAGAAGCTTCTCTGGAGAGAGAATAGGGGAGAGCTTTGACAAAAACCCTTTGGTTTTGTTTTTGGGTTTTGTTTTTCTTTTTCTTTCTCCAGAAATATCGTAAGTCATTTCCAATAAAAAAATGCTAGCGAACTTGTCTGAACATAAGTATGGTTTGTAGTAAGGTGATTCCTGTTTGGTGGATAATGTCTGAAACTCGGGACTTTTTTCACAGTGCTGGGGAAAAAAAAAAAAAAAAGGATTCTTCCCTAATCGCTGGGAATAACGGGTTCTTTAAAGGGTACCCGCTGCAAATAGCTGCCAATGGGTGTTACACAGGCACTCGGCCTCTTTCAGCACTTGTTGACTGTTAGGGTACTCGGCAGAATGCTCGCTGTGATTTTGCATTTTGGTCTCAGAGCGGCTTTAAAGAAACGCAGACTTTAGGAATAGGAAGAGGCAATTCCTGACCGCTCGCAGTTTGGAGGAACCCACATGTTTTTTCCCTCTGGATGCCCTGCGAACGCAGGGGCTCCATTTCTGTGAGCAATCTTATCACATTCATAGCGGACTCGTGGGTCAGAAGCAATAACGTTGTTCTCTTTATTGGTGCTGGCTTGACCCTTTCACCTAGACATTTTACCTCCTGCGTCCCTCCTTGAGCCGAGCCGCTGGATTTACCAGGCAGCAGGCTCGCTGCTCGCTCCGTGCCCTGCCTGCTTCGGGGGCGGGCGGCGCTTCCTCAGCATTGTTCGACCCCGGGCAGAAACGCATCGGCTCCGCAGAGGAAACCTTTAGGAAATAATTTGTTTTTGGGCGGCTGGAACAGTGTTACTGAGTGAATAACTACATCGGTGCCTGACGGTTTGCTGACGGTCAGCTGGAGCTAAATTCTAGTGTGTTTAAACCGCCGATATTTCCTCGTCCTCCAAAACTAGCCAAAACGCAAAATCAGGCGGCTGCTGCCCTTAAGTTTTCCAGGATTTTAGCAACTATCATCAGAAAGTCAAAATGCACAGAACACAGCTGATCTCTGATCGTTCAAGTAGAAAACTTGATTCTGTATTGAAACGCTTACCCATTGGCATTTTACTTCATTTATTAGCTTGTAATTAAATAAATCAGCAACAGAAATTAAAATCTAAATCACAAAAGGTAATTATCCAGTGTATTTCAAGTGCATTTTCAAATATATAATTCCAATATTCAAGCGTTATTATATAAGCAGAATCCAAATTTCTTTTGAATATATTTAAATAACATTTCAAGTATATTTATGGAATGTTAGAAATAGAACAAGCAATATATATGAAACGAAAAAATGTAAACTTGTTAAGTTCAGACACTTCAAAAGACAATTAACAAAAGTACCATGATAAAATCTACCTTTTTAAATGGTATCTTCTCTTTAGCAGAAAATGTCCTTGAAGTATCCAAAATGGCAATTTAACTTCTGTTCACCAAATCACAAAACACCAACATCCACAATTTCAAAGACAATGTGAGATCACAATATTTGATACAAATTAAAAGGTACATTGGGGTTTGTTCAGGTGGCATATCCAAATAGCTTTTACTCACAGAGGGATTACAGAAAAATACGGGGTTTGTTATAATCCGTTGGTACCATTCCTAGGCAGAGTGGTCACAATCAAGTTAAATTACAGCCAATTTTGCTTTCCGGGTTAGACGCTTTTTTTTTTTTTCCCCCTTTTTTTTTTTCTTTTCTATTTTTTTCCCCCCGCGGGAAACTGCAAAACTGTGGTGCAGATAAGAGGCATGATACTTGCTGTTTTTATTTGCGTTTCTCGGTGAAGAGCCTAAGCTATATTCCTTTTTAAAAGAGAATATGAGTTGCACTGTCAAGTGGAAACATCTGACTTTTCGAACAGGAAGCTTAAACTTCATCAGGATCTCAGACGCTTTGTCGGACAGGCCCGCTCTACAGTTACCCCCTAAAGTTTCTCCAAACTTTTCGGGTTGGTCAGTATCTCCCTAGCCAGTCGCCACGTCTGTTTGGCCGCGTTTTCCAGGGCTGAGTGAGGTTTGCCCTGAAAGAGGTCTAAATTGGGCAAGAAGTAATGCGGGCACCGCCTGCACTGGAGGCAGGAGATGAGCTGCAGTAAAATCCCGTTGAGCCGATCGCCCAAGCACGACTCGTCCCAGTCCGACTCTCGGGGGTGCTTTTCGCATTCGTATGAAACCAGAGTCTTCATGTGATAATTATTCAGGGGCTGGCCCGGCAGCTCCAGGTGGCGGTCCCGCAAGGTTTTGAGGATGGAGAGGCATTTCTTCCTGCAGCCGCCCATCTGCAGTCTGTTCTCGGCTTCGGCGAACTGCAGCACCCAGGCATCGCTCTCGGCCGAGCTCTGCTTGCCGGCCAGCGAGTGGCACTCCTTGGACAAGAGGTTGAACCCTTCGGCCTTGACCTCCGCCACCCGGTTGGGTCCCGGCCAGGGGATGTGGGGAAGCGGCCAGTGGGCAGCGCTCCGCGGCCAGATCCCCGTGCACTTGAACGCCGGCGTGATCTGCACCACGTACCTATCCCTGATCCGCAGCTTCACCTCGCTGGTGTCCGCCACCATCTTTACCACGTCTCTGTAACTGCACTTATCCACGGCTTGAGCCACCAGAGTCTGAAATCTGGAGCGGATTTTGCGAGCGGAGAGGTAGCCAGACGCCGTGATGAACTCCACCCAGAGGGACATGCTCCTCTTGCGCCCGTCGCTCAACTTTAACACAGCGCAGCCCGGCAAGGAGCCGTCGTCCACGAAGTTGAAGACCCCCATCTGGTTCAGATAGAGCACGACTTCGAACTCCGTGGGGGAGATGACTTCCAAGCCCTCGTAGCGATTGTCCATCTCATTCAGGGAGCTGATGAAGCGAGGCTCCTGCACCTCCACCTCCTTCAGCACGTCCGACACCACTTTGCAGACTTCGCGGATCGTCTTGGCGATGGCAGCTTTCCTGGCTTGGCATTTCTCGTTGTAGTATTTATTCAGATGATACACCAGCTTGGCCTGGGCCGCGATCATGTTGGGGCAGAGATCCGGATTGTACACCGGAGTCTCGCAGTAGGCTGTGGGATCCAATGCGGCTGCTAAGGCTGGAGCCAACTTCAGAGGAGAAACAGGCTGCTGCACTCTGAAACGTAACAAATGTTTTTCAAAATGCGCTGTGGCTGCTGCTCCTCAGATGCTCTCTTCCTGCTTTTTTAGATCAGCCGTCTCGAAGTGTGTGTGGCGGGGGGGGCGGGCGGGGGACTGGAGGGGGCGATATTTTTCCTCCCCCTTTTTTTAAAGGGTCCGTGAGTGAGAGGCAAGCATCGAGAGCTGCACCTTCTCCGGCAGCAATAAAAACAAAAGTTGCACTGAGACACAGCGAGGCTTCCAGTAGTCAAAATAATAAAACCTCTTCGTATTTATTTATGTTTTCCCGTAGTAATCACTGTGTGTGTGCAGGGCGGTTAATCAGATGGTGGAAAAAGTGCCGCGTGTGTGTGTGTGTATATGTCAGAAGAAGCTGGCTGTTGGTTTGTATAAGAGCCCAGATGCACTCGTGTGGAAATTATAAAGGCAGGGCCAGGCAGGCGGGCGGCCAATCGCCACTGGGCTCGTCACTGCAGCCTCTTTCAGCTCAAACCCGGCTAATTAATCCCTCTCTAGGAGATAGATATGTATACGCACACGCACATATACAAAGGTAGCCGGTTCCCGGCAGAAAATCGCCGGGAAATCGAGGGACACCGCTCTTCTCCGGGTGTAACCCCAAGGGCAGGGACGTTTCCAAAGGACCCTGCGCGGCTCCGTTCCCAGCGGGTCCCCCGACGGCGGCGTCGCGCCCGCAGGTGCGGGTGGCTGCGTCCCGGGGGGCGGCCGGAGGGCCAGGGCCTCCCGGTCCCGGCCGGAGCCCGCCCGTAAGTTCATTTAGAGCCGCCCTCCTCGCCTCCCGAGAGCGGTCCGTGACTGCCAGCGGGAAGTTTTGGCTCTCCCGAAGCGGCCGGGGAGCGAGGCGGCAGATGCACGGCAGTGTAGTGCCCTTCGGAATAAAAGTGTGCCGCCAAAGTTCGCGATTTGGGGGCGTTTTCGGCGGACCTTCTGGCGGGGTCGAAGCGATCTGGAGGTTTCAGGCGTTTGTGCATTGTGTCTCGCCTTGCTTTTTGTCTTCCTACCTTCTGGAGGGGAGAATCGATCGCTAAACGGGGCTGTCAGGTCTTTTTCACGCTCCCTCCAGAAACCAAGTAGCAGATCCGAAGGGTAAACCTCCTCCGCCAGCTCCTAGCTTCGTTCCCGTGCTCCGCGTAGCGCTCCGACGTGTGGCGAAGGCTGAGTGTTTGGCTGCTGTTGGAGACGTGGTGGCACCAGGAGCACCTATTAATTTCAAACCTGGACGGCTCATTGTTACAGCGGGCTCTGCTAGCAAGCTGCGTTTAGTAAATGCGCTCACGGGAGGGATGCTAGCGACTGCAAACGTGCTGGCATGCTGCTCATCTGACACCTTGGGTTTCATGCGCGTGATGCGTAATTAGCAAATTTCTCCTTCGGTACCTTAAGTGGTAGTAATCGGAACCTTTATTTGCAAATAAGCCCGCGTAGCAAACTCTTCTGCTTTCCAGCATTTACCGAGCTTCACTCTAAGAAAACCCTAAATTATATATATACATATATACATACATGTATGTATATATATATAAAGAAAAAAATACACCCAAGCTTTTCGTCGCTTGTCTTTAAGGAATCTTTAAGCTGCTGCCCAATTATTAATTCGTGAAGTGGCTGTCACAGACGTATGTGTCGCTAAGGAGAGGTCATAATGCAAGGAATATCTTACAACATTTGTTCACCGCATTAAGGCGACCAACTTTCTTGCATACAGCGAAGAATTTCTGACTTTGCGCTCTCCTCCCTCGCTCTTGGAGTTTCTGCGGGCGATCCCCTTGCCGCTTCCTAGAAGGAAGCCGATGCGGGAATCATTTTTCTGCCCATTAGTATAAACAAGGCTAGGACCGGCTCGGGGCTCCTAGCAGAAAATCTGCAGGTGACAGCTCGTCCCGGAGAAGCCTTCCCTCTCCTCGGCCCGCCGGCGGCGGGGCGGCCGCTCCCCGTCTGTGCTGGGCTAACAGGGGCAGGTTTTCCCCCAGATTTTTGCGGGGAGCTTTCGCGGCGAGTAGGGGCGGCTGCCGAGCGGGACACAAGTGGCTCCCCACGGCCCCGGCTCCTTCCCGGGGTCCGAGACCCCCCTATACATTCCCCAGGGACTCCGGGGGGCGGCTCCCCCTCCCCTGCCGCGCAGGCACCCGTGAGGTCCCCTCCAGCTTCAAGGGGAGGCCGGGACACCCCGGCGGCGGGCGGGGAGGGGAAGGATCCCGCCCCACTACACCCGGGGCTGGGACTGGGGTCGGTCCGGGGCCGATCCCCTCTCCCTGCCCGCCCCCTGGGGCCGCGGCGGTGCCGGGCGCGCCCTGCCTGCGGAGGGGTTGGCTGTGTAGGGGGCACGGAGGGGAGAGGAGGAGGAATGGGAAGGGGCAAAGCGGGAGGGTTTTGGGGCAGGGGGACCCCCCGGCGCGACCCCTCCGTCTCTTTCTGGCCGGGGGGGCGGCTTTTTGGCGGTGTAAATCAGGCTGAGCTCCTTTCCCTGCGAGGTCGCGTACCGCCGCCGCGTAAAAAACGAAAGTTGAGGCGGGCGGACAAAAGGGGTTTGGCTCGCTCCCCCTATCTCCGCCAAGGGGAGCAGCCGTTTCCTGTGGGATGACACGCAGTCCCAAACTCCGAAGTGCGAGTGGAGCCTTCAGCTGCACGTTGACGATGGAAATATTTCGGGCAAGGTTTTGTTTGTTTTCACCCGGTGGGTTTTCGCTCAGGAAATGCAGTTTCTAAAGGCAAGAGGCGATATCTCACCCCTTTCAATCGTCAGGAAGCTGAATTTTCGTAATGTAGCAAAATTAATCGAAATTAAAATTACGTCTTCTCTGCCAAATCACAGCCGTCTCTATATAACGTTATGATTAACCCCCCATGTCAAATAACGCAGGTTATATGTATTGTATCTCGGCGGTTGTGGGAACTGTTGTGCCTATCAGACTTAGCCTTGGCTGGGTTATGTTTACCACTAAAGGTTACGATCAATTTCACTACATCATTTCATTTCACACACAGAAATATAAACATTTGATAGCTTGAAAATATGTGGATTTAGGCACGGCTGACACCAGTCAACTACTGAAATGTAACTGTTAAGGTGACCTGATCATTTCAAATGACATGAAGTCGGTGGTTTGCTTTGGATTCTGAAAATGAAGATATATCTGACTTTACGAAATATAAAACATGAATATTTTCGAGACTTCTGACCACTTAGCAGTTAGTTTTTCTTTGTATTTATTAACGTGTTCTTAATAAACTATAAAAGGAAGGAACACCTTTTCACCGCTGAGTTTTATTTTTATATGGATTGAGTTGTTCTGGTAAATTGAGATTAAAATCACCTCATTAAAATGATGATTGAGAGTTTGTCATTATAATAGTACTGTATGATATTGGTGACTTTTACCAAATTACTGTTTTCTAGATATTTTCCCCTAATTAGAGTACTATAGCTACATTTCTTGAACTCTACTTGTTATTTCAAATCTTTCTAACTACATTGCCTTGTCATGCAGTGTTCTTATTAGCCAGAAAGCCAAATAGTGTTGAAAATGTATGACTGCAGGTACTCGCCTATGCCACCAAAATATATATATATATATAGTCGCTTTTATAAATTTCACCAATAATTTATTTTCATATGGTGAAAAGCATGAGTGAAAATGCACATGCTGATGCATATACACCCAAAGTGCTTACATTGATATCACTTTATATTTCTTATTATGTAGTGATAGTTCTTCCACAAACAACTGTGCTCATGAATTTTAAAGTTTTATTTTTTAATATCTGTCTATTGCACTAGGGAACTAGGAAAAAATGAAGCTGAGATGATTAAATTATTTATCCCTACTGCTGAAGTGAGTTTGAAGGCTCATTGAATGTATCTGATTTCTTGGATCCTCATTCTCCCCTTCCCCCCCTCAATTCATTCTGGTTATTTCATCCATATCATCCTGCCAGCAACAATAAATTTACTTTTTTTTTTTTTTTCAAGTAGGAAAACTAAAGACAGATATTTGTGGAGAGTTTGCTTTAAATGTCACTTTATATAAAATACGCAGCATCATTTTTTGTGATAGAGGTTGACGGTACTTGCAAGTGTTTGCATTCCTATTTGCATTTTACTTTTTGACTACACTTTCAAACTTAGGAACAATGAAATGGTAAGCTTAAAAGTAAGTTGCTAGCGTGTTTGCAAACACTTTTTTTTTTTAATTTATTCAAATGATGTTGTATGCTTCAGGACTTAGATTCTGGGATATAAATTTATGTAGAATTATGCACGCAAATATTTTCCTTCAGTTATCTGTAGTTTTCCGCAGATGTTTTTTACTTTTTTTTTTTTAAGAAAATGTGATATAGCTCCTTTTTGCAGTACACGAATAGCATTTGTTAGTGTTAAACTTAGCATGTGTATGTATTCTCTTCCCATTAAAAATAAAAAAATGAAAGGAGTTTGCATTAGTTTTGGACTTTGTCATTCTAGGTCACACGGCTGAACTGTTAATGCTTTAAATTCTTTTAATCTGCAATCTGTTAAAGGAAAATCCAGTAATTGATTTGTTGTCTTTAAAATGTTACATCTCAAAAGTAAACATAGAGCTTGCACAACTGCAAATTACGATTTTAGCTAGAACCGCAGAAACATCCAGGCAGGAAGAAATGCATTGAATTATTCATTTGGTTCACTTCTACATCAGCTTCTCCAAAGCCAGACATTCCTTAAAGTACAGCATTTCATTTAGGGAGTCCAACATTGCCTTTTTTTTTTTTTTTAGAAAACAAAAAAAGAAAAAAAAAAGAAAAAAGAGATTTGTTGCTTTGAGAATGCTCTTTTCTGCTGAACTGAGAGGAGTATGGAATCAGTGGGGATTAGCGCCTTTTAATCTACTACATCTGTAGCGGGTCATCCAACACTGCAGAACTCTCATTACTGTTACATGCTGTATATGATTAAATGACTGAAAATATTCAACATTGACCTTGAAAATAAAGCTGTATGCATTGGATGATCAGCTTCCTAAGTCTTCATCTCTAAGCTAACCTTTCCCCTTGGTAACTTCTATCCCTGCAATACATTGTCTGAAGAAGGACTAGAGCATAGAAAACACGTGCAAGTTGAAACTAAAGTGTGGTAGTATTTGAAATGTATCATTATATAAATTATGACATCACTCATCTTGTTTGTGTGTGTTTTTGAGTAACACAACATCTTATTAATCCAGCTGAAATGTAGGGGTGGTATGCCTTGAACAGATATACTTCTACGACTGGTGTTTTTATATAAGCTGGTTTCATATCGACCGGCAAACTGAACTACGCACTCGTGTAGGTAGTTGCTAGAGCTGCTGAAATCAGCAGAAAACATGTTGCTTAACATCTTTGGGTGCTAACCTACACCAAGCACCATTTTTCATATCCATTTTGTCATGCTATGTGTTTATTGCTGGTTTTCATACTACATATAATATACATTTAGCCCCTCGTAGTCAAAACTAAATGTGTTCTCTCCCCTAACAATAGCATGAGTATGGTAAATCACCTATGTAACTCACTTTATCTCAACTTAGCTATAAAAAGACATGCCTTGCATATTTTAATGCAGACTTCTATTTTTTAATGTAGTGTACGGCTTTCAGATATTTTCTTTCAAAATAAGGGTGAAGGGAGGAGTTGAGTGAGTTGGTCATGAGTGATTAATACATTTCATTGAACCTTATGAAGGCCCTGATCCTGCCAATACACACATGGTTAGCTAAACAGTTGGCTGGTTCTGATGAGGTCAGTGGCTTCTTTAGGCTAACAGTTGGTTAAGTCCACGAGCTGTTATTTGCAGGATTGGGGCCGAAGCAGGATAACGCTTGGAGGTTATAATTTATGACTAGTATGAACATGGCATGCCTTCACAATATTTAAAATATCAAATGCATGTGTTGGTAAGTATAATAAGGAAAATATATTTTGGGCCTGAGCATCTACTCTCCTGTCAAGCAGGACTTCCCGCTTAATTTCATTGTATTTTAGTGATGATAGTGTTGATTTAACTTCCTGAGAAAGGACAGTGCTGTTTTGTTTTTTGTATTTAACAGGATGCTCTCGTAAAAATACTTTCCCTAATCTGCTCTAAAGCTTTTACAAGGAGGATAAGGTTATTCATAGAAATGAGTGAAAGACTATGATTGCAAAATCTCAAAACTGTACTTTTCATGTACTTACTTTCATACATTCAGGACTATTTCTAGAACTCCCAAAAGGTACAGGATCTTTTAACAGTCTTAAATATAAGCAACCCACTTGCTAAAAAACACTTATTCATTGTTCCTAAAATATGTTAGTTGTAACTGTAATATAAACATGTCAACCAACTTATTATTTCAGGAAGAAAGGGAGAGATCTCTTCAGGAAAAGCTTGATCCTAAAATCTTCCGGCCTTTAAAATGTGTCGATGTTCCCACCACCTCTCTGAATGCTTTTTCTTAACTGGTGAAATATTGTCACTCCAGAGTGTAAA